GCAGGCTGCCTGGGGGCTGTGGGTTATATAATAATGATTTCAACCTGGAAAGGAGTGCACAGGAAGGATTTAACCAAGTTTTCCCATAGTTTAGAAGTGTTTCTCAAACACTGAGATTTGAGAGCTAACGAACATAATACAAAGGCCCAGGCTCATTGAAGTAGACTAGAACTTGGACCTCTGCATTTTCTTCAAATTCCTCTAATTCATACTAAAGTGTGTATGGGCTTGTGTGTGTGTGTACATGCATGCATGCATGTCACAGTGACTGTTTGCACATGTACTAAAGCAAATAAAGGTTAAAGTATAGCATGAAGCGCTAAGATTAGATGACAGAGCAGAAGAGGAAATATGGGAGGAAGTTGATACTCACTGACATGGCTTACTTGGGGATGATATAAAGCAGTGTTTCTCAACCTTTAGCCTGTACTAAAATTGCTTGGAGAGCTGCTTAAAACAGAATGCTGGGCCCTACCCATGTCCAGAATTTGTAATTCTGTACATCTGGAGTAAGACCCTAGGATATGCATTTCTACCGGGTTCCAGGGGTTGCTGCTGGTGGTCTAGGGGCCATACTTTAGGACCAGCCGTGTAGACAAGCACAGCGAGCGGCCCTGAACCCTGGCAGCACACTGGAATCATCTGGGATGAGACTGATGCCCAGCCTCACCCCCAGAGATTCTGATATAATAGAACTTCCGTGGAGTCTGGATAGTGTAGTTTTCAAAGCTCCCCAGGTGTTTTAATGTGTAGTCAGGGTTGAGAACCACTGGTGCCAAGGCTTCCTGGAAAAGCTGGCGAGTCTGGGCTCCAGGAGCCACATTCAGTCCTGAGTTGCCGGATTTAATCAGTTTGTCTGCATGTCCTTTCCCAGGAGCAGGTGAAAGCAATGCACTAAATGATCTTCCTAAGGGCCTTTTCCCCACTCAGTATCGAGGCTCTGACTAGGATGCTTTAAAAACGCATTTCCTTGATGTACAAGTAAAACAAGCATTTAAACTCCGTTGATTTTTTTCTTAACAATGCTGCCCTCTAGTGTCCTTTTGGTAGAATTATGTTAAAAACCCACCTCAGCTATCAGTACAGTTATTTCCTATTATGTTAGATAGCTAAAAACTTGGGGGATTTTTCTCTGACATTAAAAAAAAAAAAAAAAGAAGTGGGAATTCCCTGGCGGTCCAGTGGTTAGGGCTCCGCGCTTCCACTGCAGGGGGCACAGGTTCAATCCCTGGTTGGGGAACTAAGACTCTGCATGCCCATGTGAGAAAAAAAAAAAAAATTGAATATGCATTAAATTCAGTTTTACTTTGTGGCAACGTGAATCTCTAACTGTGGCCTCTACATTCTCTGCATTCCTCCCTGCATTCCGTGCTGCAGCCTCCTCCTCCCAGACTCCTTTCTGCATTCCACCAGCCCTTTCCTGCAGAGTCAGTAGCCAAACAAATCACGGAGCAAAGAAATTACCCCTCAGCTAAAGTACCTGGGGCATGAGGGCATCTTGCATAGGCTCTTCCACGCTCAGAACTGTTCCTTCTCACCTTTTCCTCACTTCCCACCTCTTTTTCACTTGGTTGATAGTTTATTGAGAATTGAATTCATCAAACAGGGGCTCCCCTGTCTTCCTATGATGAGTTCTCCAAACCTCCTGAGGTCCCACCATCTTGCCAGAAGTGTCCTTCCCACCCCCAGGAGTGTTGTTCTCCTCCATCTCCCTGTGTCAAGTCTCTCTCCCTCCATACTCCCCAACCCTCTAGCCCACATCCTCAGTAACTCCCCTATCTAGATCACTCCCAGTGGCATACAGGCTTACTCTTACATCTTCCAGTTTTAAAATAAAACTCTCCTTTGACTCTAAGTACCCCTTCAGCTGCTGCCCTCTTTCTCTGCTCCATTCATTTCCTAACTTGAGTCTACCCAGGTTGTCTCTAATGCCTTCCCTTCCCCACGCCCATTCTACCACTGGCTCCAGCCTGGCCTTGGTCCCAACGCACCACAGACACTTACAGCACTCTTTTCATGGTCTGCAGTGACCTCCCTGTCACACAGCCAAATCCTGTGGACGCTGTTTTGTGCCCTTCGGACTCGAATGCTCATGTGTTCCAGTCCTCGGGCACAGCTCCTTCTGCGAGCACTCCCTATTCTTGATTCTGAACTGTCCCCCCATCTGGCTTCCTTCCTGCCCCTCTGGCTGCAGTGACCTCTCCCCGACTCCTGCTCTGGCTCTTAGAACCTCTACTCTTTTCTCTGGGCAGACTTCCCTTTTATAGTCTCATCCACTTCCATGGATTTAAATACAGTTAAAGACTGGTAATTAATAAATAGCTCGCTTCCAGCCCAGGTTGTTCACCGTGTCATTATCCAGTTATCTCCACTCGACATCTCCCCTCAGTTTCTCACAGTCATCTCCATTTTTGGCATGTCCAAGGGGAGACCCTGGCTCTTCCTCCCAAACCTGTTCCTCGCTCAGTCTCCTGCATCTCGGTGAATGGCCAGTTATCTGGGAGATCGCCTTCATTCCTCCTCGTCCTCACTTGCCACGTTCAGTCCATCTGCAAGTCTAGGGGATACTACCCCCCAAACAGATTTTGATCCATTCATGCCTCTGTCTTTGCTACCACCTCCCGATTCCAAGCCCCCTCAATTCCTGCCTGGAGTACTGCAATACCTTCCTAAAGATCTTCCTGCTTCCTCCAGCCCCCCTCCAGCCCCACAGCACAGTCAGATAGTGTTCTGAAATGTTCACTGCATCGTCATTTCCTTACCTAAAAATGTTAGTGACTTCCCATCAAGCCCTGAATAACAGACAAATAACACGGTTTGCCCTCTGCCAACTTCATCCTGTAGCCCTGTCCTCCTTCCTGACTCAGCTTCCATGGCTTCCTGATTGCGGGAACTCACCAAGCTCTGTCCAGCCTCAGGGCCTTTGCACGTGCTGCTCCAGTGGCCTACAATCCTCCTCCACTGTTCTTCCCCTGACTGGTCCCTATTTATTTTTTGTGCCTAAACATTACTCCTCAGGGAGACCTTCCTTAACCAACTAAAATCGGTCTTCCCTCTTATTCCCTATCTCAGCCCCCTATTGGTTTTCTTCATAACATGTCACATTTTGTAATTACCTACTTGTTTACATCTCCATGTTCTCCACTCAATTCAGAACTCAAGGAGCTTTGTATCTGTTTTACTCACAGATGAACCCAGTGCCTGGCAAATATTAAGTTCTTAATACGTGTGTGTGAAATAAGGGAATGAAGGTACAGGAGGAGTACCACCTCCACTCCACCCTACCTGCTCTTGCCAAGGCCTCGGGAACTGCCGCATGGCCAAGCCACTGGCCAGTCCTGTGCTCATCTCACGTGATTACAGAATGGAGACAGGGGAGGCTCTCGGGCTCATTTTATTCTGTTAACCTCCTCAGTGTTTACCAACGTGTTTGATTTGCCCCAATATCCCCAACCCCCAGCGTAGCAGACGCCTTATAAATCCTGTTGACTGGATGAACATCTCAGCTCTGGATGAAACAGGATGTGAAAGGAAAGGGAACTAGCACAACGATGGAGATCTCCAAAGAGAGAATACTTTGGGGCAGAGATTTAAATAATGGCTTTAGACTTCCAGAAATTTTAGCACAGGTACTCATTTCCATTTGTATAATAAAAGGAAAGAAAAGGTTTCATACAACCTTTTGTATCTCATTTGCTTTATCAAGGGAGATCTATCTTCATAGATTTAGTTGCTGAGTAATAAACTGATATTTAGAAGTCTTTCTCCAAGAAAGAAAAATATTTTCCTTATAAGCCAAGTTCTACCTCTGTTGGGACTCTGGTGAGTAAAAGCATTCCCATCTTCCAAACAAAGAAACCAAGGGCAATTTTAAATGGTTTACATAAGCCAAACAAGCAAGCAAGCTAAGACCCTAACCCTCGCTGTCTCGTTCCAAATCCTGTCCCTGATCAATCAAGACAGTGATTGCTGGTGAGAAATAAAAGAAGAACACATCTACTCAACTTGAGTTTGAGAAAGGATTTGATTCTTCTGAAGGACACGTAACCTACCAGATATTAGTGGGGCAAGAAAAGCCCGTGGCCTGCAACCCCTTGGAAATGTCAAATGACCTAGCATCCTGGGTATTTGGCTGACCTGCTTTATAGAAGAAATCCAACCGTGTCTGTGACTTATCACTCAATTGAACTTGAGGTTCTCCATGCTCCCTGGTTCTGCATCACATCGGCTGGTGCCAAGAAGATTAGCTCAGCTCCACCCCTCTGGGAAGGGGTTCATTCTCCTGTTTAGGAAATATGATGTCAAGCTGAAAGAGGCTGATGAGCAAGCGGGGCGGTGCCACACGCAGGCCCCAGTGAAATGCATGACATGGGTGTGTTAGAATGAACTTTGGTCCAAAGTGGTCAAGGACAGAGTAGCCCATGCGGGCTGGGAGCCACTGTGGCTTTGGCTGTTTGTTCAGCATTTAATATGTTTATCTTTCTGCCAAACACATTGTTGTTGAGTCATCTCTATTAAACAGCCACCCTGAGTGAGTCTTAGCTCTGCAGATCCCACACACAGAGGCAGGCCTTCTATCCCCAATGACCCTCCATTCTACAAAGTCAAAACAAATGCTTTCTCTCACTTCTCACTTTAGTGAGCCCTTAAGGTCCCCATGTTCTGAAAGAGGTGAATCATGTGTTCTTTTATCCAGCCAGGAACCCTGAAGCGATAAAAGTAAAGGAAGAACTTAAAGTGGTCATTCTGTTTTTAATATCATTTCATTTCATGTTGTTGCTGCAATCTGAAAATGGAACGTCAGTTTACCCAAAAGTACCAACCACCTCCAAACTATCAATATTTTATGTTAGACTATTATGTTACCACCAGTGTCAAAGTAATTATATTAATCCAACAAATAATTGCATTAAATATCTAAGCTTTGGGCAGGAAAAGGAAAAGAAAGACTATATAACTTTGAAAAGTATATGTAGTGCTAACTATTTGGCTTTCCATAGAAATCGTTCGAGCCATGACACATGTGATAAACCAAGGAATGGCAATGTACTGGGGAACCTCCCGCTGGAGTGCCATGGAGATCATGGTAATTTCATTTCTATTTTTAAATGGCCATCGAGTACCTATTATTGTTTGTTAGATATCATGTGTAAGTTGTAAGATCTTTTGCAAACTTTCTTCACAATCACATGGCACTAGAATTCTATGATCAATTCCATCAGTAATAGAGATGGATATGGGGGGTGGATCTCCTCAGCTCAGAATACAATAGGGAGGGTGCAGGTATCTAACAGGAATTGTGCTTTAGCATGTTCTCTGGTAGTAAGAGAGTAAATTTCTCAGCTAACGAGACATATCAACACAATATTCCAGGTTTTTTTTTAATGTATTAAATAATGGTACTGTTCATAACATGCTAATTACAGATCATTTTTATATTATTATATTAGTTAAGTTTTATTTCTTTAGGAACCTAGAAATAGTCAAACTACGTTTTCTTTGTAATAGTCCATAATTCATACTTTGACTAATTTTCCCTGGACCTTACTCATTCCAAAACCTCTCAAAGAATAATAAGGATTTCCTGCATTGGTATTTCTTAGTGAAATTGATGGTCATAACTTTGCTTACTATTTGGCAATCTACATTCTTCTTGGTTTGTATTGATTTCACCAAAATGAAATTTTTTCATGCATACAGCCTTATTTCTCATCAGCTATAAATTCAGTTGCACTTGTATTTCTCCCTAGGAAGCCTACTCTGTAGCAAGACAATTCAACATGATCCCACCAGTCTGTGAACAAGCTGAGTACCATCTTTTCCAGAGAGAGAAAGTGGAGGTTCAGCTACCAGAGCTCTACCATAAAATAGGTAATCTTCACAATCAAATTTACTGATTATTTTTAACAACAGGATGATCAGTGATCCAGAAAAAAATGTTACTGAAATGCCTTCCTAAATGTTCCTAATTAACCTAGGGGTTGTCAGCACTATGCATTCCAGAGACTGGAAGAATCAAAAGTGCCTGTATGTAACCTCCAGAGTATCACTCATGACAGCCAAGCAGAGCTGTAAACTGTGACTGGTGTACAAGCTGTACTCAGTAGGTGTTCAAAAAATGCATATAGAATGAAGGGAAGAAACAATGAATAAACGTATTTTTCATAGGGTAGTTGCTCTAGCCAAGAATGCATCTCTGAGTGGATTATGACTGCCTTTCCCAAAAATTATGGATTTGTACATCTGTATCTCCTACTTTGCTTAGAACTGAGTCAGAATGGGAATTCAAGAATGGCTGACAAGCCAGGGACACATGTTTTTGTAGGTAGACATAATGACAAAGAGAGGGAAAAAATATATACACAACATGTACACGAGAATTTTGGACATCAGAAAAACCTAAGTAAGCCACATTTTCAGGCGTACTTATTAAAACAGATTCCAGAGATAATTTTCTTCATAAGAAATGGGGGTTTACACGAGTGGGAAAATGCTGGGTAAGAAAAAAAGGATTAAAAAGTTCAACAACAGCAATAACAATGGTTGTTATTGCTATCACTGCGTGTTTACTGTGCAGGGGGCGTTGTGCTCCTGCTTTGCACCAGGCACTATTAAGGCACTGAGTGAACAAGCGAAGAGCTGGATTTCTGTGCAAGCAAAAGTGTTTATCTCTGAGTGTAAAAAGAAACATAAATTTTGGTCATCCGAAAACTATGGATAAGCCACATTTTCAGGCTTGATTATATGGCCTGTTCCCCATAACCAACAGTGCACGTTTGGTAGGTTTATAAAAATGAAGCACGATTTGTAGATGCCTGAACTGTAATGAAAAGATTTATGCTGATATTAGCTCATGTATCTGGCCAGTTTTCCCCACAACTAACCAAGTCCTTTCTAAACACCCCGACACTTTTGATCCCAGTTTGCAGAAGTAACTTTTTAAGGTTTTTTCTTCTGTAGGCGTCGGAGCGATGACATGGTCTCCACTGGCCTGTGGCATCATCTCAGGAAAATATGGAAATGGGGTGCCTGAAAGTTCCAGGGCTTCACTGAAGGTATTTTCCTCCACCTCTAGGAAAGAGTCTGGGGATAGGAGCAAGGGAAAAAAGGAGATTGAACAGAACAGTTCTGCAGCAGCCTGTGGCTCCCTGGCTCAGGCCGAGTGTGGCCTTGGGCTGGCCGGTGTTCCCTGGCCAGCTCCCCAAGCCCTCTGGAGGTCTCTACTTCTGGTCAGGCATCAGTGCAGAAAGTTCTCCTCCTCTGGGGACCGGGGGAGATGCCCAATGACCTGGTTGGATTCATAGACTCGAATTCCTACACTAATTCTTATATTCAAGAAGGCATTTCATTCCTCCTTCGAAACTTAGGAAACGTAAAATCCCTTTTCTATATAAGAGGATCTAATTTTACTTTTCTTGACAAAACAAAATTTAAGCCATAGAGGTTTAATCCACATGTGGCAAACCGGTTGTAGTTGAATAGGTTTGAGTTCGGTTGACGTTTTTTAATATGTGAGGATGGGGAGTAAGGAGGGAGGGTTTGGGAAGCAGATACAGAGCCAAGCCTCTGTCACGGGGGCTCAGGGCTGGCATTTGCAGAGATCAACTCCAGCTGCTGAGTCTTGCAGCTTAATTTCTTCTCTGAAGCATAAAGATATTTAAGATCATTGACATAAAGTTACCTCCATTCAGAAGATCTTGATGATTAATTTACTGGAGGGTACTCCAAAATCTCTCCTTGTTAATAACAACATGTCTGTTTTTTAAAACTTGAGAGAATGTGTAATAACATTAGAATCACAAATTACTCTGTAATGTCTAGGGAGAGAACATAGGCATTTTCAAAATTCACACATGCCAAAGGCCCCAAAGAGGAAGCAGAAGTCTGACACAGCCTCTTGTCTCCATCAGCACAAAGTCAGCACAAGGACAACTCAAGTTAAGCCCAAACCAGCGACCTTTTAATCAGTATGGCTGGAACCACCGTGTGCTTCCCTAATCAGGACCTTCTCCAGACTCTAGGTCTATCACTTTTCTCTCTGCTGTATCAGTTGACCTATTAGCTTGTTTGTTCTCTAAGATAATACAACATAAACATTTCCTAAAACATGGTGACGTGGTCCTGCTTCTAGTTTTGCATTATTACACTAATTATCCTAGAATATTATATAGGGTCTTGTTTCTGAAAAATGGAAGGTTTTGAATAAGTCAGCAAAGAAAAACGAAAAGCATCTTAGGAAAGAAGGGATAAAAGGTGGATGGCAAGAAAAGAGTGAAGAAAGAGAAGCATTGAAAATTGTGATTTTGCTGAGCACCTACTATGTGCCAAGCACCGGGCTAAGTGTTTTTATTCATCTCCTTTTTTCCTCACAAAGATAAATGGATACAGATGGCTTTTAGCCAGTTGTAGCCAAGCATGTTGTCTTACAGTCTTTCAGAGACTTTCTGAAAAACTCAAAGTGCTTCCATATATACCAGCTGTTTGTTCCAGACTATCCTTATAAGAGGGTAAACCTTTTCCAGATGCAGAAACTGAGCACAAAGAGATTAGATAACAATCCAACAGCATAAACTCATAATAGAAAAAGTTAATAGTAGAACCCAGGTCTCCTGGCTCTCAGTGCATCTCCCTAAAGGCATTTTTGTTTCCCTTCAAACTCAGGTTTTTAAAGGAGGAAGAAGTAGCTACTACACTGTATTTGAAGTATATGATTGGCTGATCTCCATCACTATTTGAGAAAAGCTTATAAACAGCTGAAAAGCTTTTAAAAATGCACTAACGAAAGGAGGAAAAGAAAAGGAGATGCAAAATATTTGAAGGTGACTAAGCCCAAAAGCAACCGGAAAAATATTTCTGTTGTTGACTTTTCAGCATCTGTTGAAACATCCTTAGCAATAAATAAGGACTCTCAACAGGTGAAAGGCAGCCAGTCACAAAGCACGCTTCTTTAGAGCTCCGCAAACCCTCAAGGCTTCTTAATTCATCAGTCCAAGTGCTTTCTGGACTAATATATGTACACTTAGAAAAGCCACTTGAGTAACTAAAGCAAAAAATACTACTACTACTAATTATATACATATACATACATACACATATATATATATATATATATTTCAACCTTAAGATTGAATGAGAATTCTAATAGTAAAAACATTTTTTAAAAAATAAAGACCTAGGCAAATAGATAAATAAGATGGCAACTTTCACCTTCCCCCAAAATAGAATAAATGGTTGGTATTTCACACTGGCTGTTTTAAGTTACACCAATAAAATAAGGTTGCTAATACTTTGTTTCTGCTATAAATATTGAACTAGATTTGAAGGATAAACTAACTGAGTGTGAAAAAATACCTATCTTTTAGAAAGTAGTACTGCCCAGGGGATTTTCTGGGAGGCTGCATCTGGCCCACCGCTGTTACAAAGACTTCTAAATCAGTGTCATCGGCACTGACTCACCGCTGAGCTAAACACCACTACTTCTTCGTGCCTATCAGACATGTCCACGTGGCTGTCCCATGGGCATCTGTCATGCCTAATGGAATCTGTCCTCACTCCCCAGAATCTACTCTTCCTTCTCATTTAACAGTGCCTCCACCCATCCATCTGGTCATCCCAGTCAGAAGCCAAGGCGTTATCTCAGCTGCCTCTTCTCCTCCCTCAGTCTTCTTCAGCAGGGCACCAACTCCTCCAGTCCACATGCTGACGCTCTGTGGTCCATTCCTTGTACCACCCTTGTTCAGATCTTCATCATTGCTTACTTGGTTTGCTGCATTAACCTCCCATCTGGACTCTCTGATTCCCCCCTCCCTTTTTCAGCTACCCACCAATTTTCTATTATCTATCTCAATTATGTGACCAATTATCTTTCTAAAAGATTAATCTGACTATATCGTAACCCTGCTTAAAATCCTTTAATGACTTCCCAATCACTGATTATAGGACAAAACCTAAAACCCACAAAAAGCATTCAAGGAAATACTCTTGAACCCGTTTTTCGTTCTTGTCTCTCCCCAAATCATATTACTTCATTTTTCACCCAAATGCACTGTACTCTTTTTTGCCTCCCCAAAATGCCCTTCTTTACATCCTGCTGTGGAAGCTCTCCTCATCCCTAAAGACAAATCTTGGTTGTCTTCACTCTGTGAAACCTGTCCTCACTTTATAAAACTCAGTTATTGGTACTTTCTTCTGTCATTCCATAAACACTTCTTACAGAGTCTTAGAATCCTCTGGCTGCAAGCAATAGAATGCAATTCAACCTAATTTCATCAAAGAAGGGAACGCATAGACAGACACTCCCTGGGAAGGATGGAGTGGGATGGCCTCAGGGGTGACTCCATCCATAGATTTGCACATCGTCAGGACTCTCCATCTCCTCTATTTCTCCCTGCATGTGAGTGTCATTTTCTTCTACTACAAGTGGGTCTTCTCCACAAGGCCAGGAGCAGGAATGCTGGTGACTGCAGGCTTACATCCTTAAAGTCATGTAACCTGAGAGAAAAGAGACTTTTTCTTTATCAGCTTCAGTCCAGAGAAGACTGGCCAAGCTTGGGTCATGTGCCAACCTGATAAACCAATGACAGTGGCCCAAAGGATAAGGTGCTGTGACCAGCTCACGTCATGCACCTATGGTGACCTATTTCCCATAAAGAGGCAGTACAAACAAGGCTTCTGAGGAAATCATTGAGGGGGCAATCCAACTAAAAACAACACTTCTCAAGTTACCAGACAATGATTTGTGAGTACTTATAGGACAGAAACTGAAACTCACGTTAACTCATCACAGAGCCTGGCACATGCTAGGTACTCAATAAATGGTTCTTGCATGAGTGCAATGAGCCATAACTGAGGATCAACAAAGTCTGATCAAGAGACCAGGTGAGCAGCTTTTAAATAGAAATTTTAAATAGAAATGAAAAGTGCAATAAAATTTATGGACAGCTCTTCCCTACTGTTGGGAAAATACCTTATAGAAAAATCATAAAAATATGTACCCTTCTGTCAAAGGTAAACAGGAAACATGCAAACTTACGTAGATCAAAGTGGGTGGAGAGGGGCAGTCCAAGTACTCCAGGTGTTCACATTAAGAAACTAAGGATATTGCCCATTATGGTAACAATTTCAGAAGGAAATTTTTTAGCTCCAGCATTTTACCTAGAGATTTTCACCTCAATAGTGAAGACTTTGCTGCTCTTTTGAGCCAAAGACTTCGATGTTTAGATAGAAATAGTCAATGATCTTGAATGCTAAATTATTCTAGACAAGGCCCAGTAATGAAATGTGACTGATTCTGTCCATGGCTTTACAGTTGCTCCCTGAGTTCTAATCTACGATTAACTAACAGGCAACTGGGGGATTTGGGGCTGATCTCACAGACTAGTCCCACCCTGTTATGGCTACCTGTAATATGGGTGTCACACAGATAACGGTCACAGCAATAGGAGATGGCAAAGAAAGAGGCTTTTGGAAAATTTAAAGAATTTTGTGACATGTATAAAAGCAATAGCCCACTAATCTGTGGAGAAGAGCTCATTCAGTTGTTCCTTTGGCAAATATTTACTGAGCGTCTACTCAGTGCCGGGCCCTGTGCTGAGGGCTGAGATACAGGGACAGTCTCAGTGTAACTCAGGGACTTGCTGGAGACAGGCATGAGAAGGGGTGAATTATGACTATAATCCACAAGCTGGAATCGAGTAATCCACAAGCTGGAATCCACAAGCACTGTGGAAGCACGCAGGGCTGCCAGCTGAGTTGTACTTCTTTAAGGAGGAAGTGTCTGTGCTCAATCTGAAAAATTGAAGAGATCTATCTTTACCCTGTGGAACCCTGGTTTCTCAGATCCCTTCCTCACCACCATGTTGGCTGAGCCCCTCTGGGCCAACCACTGTGTCAAGACTGGAGATGTTGAGATGAACAAGAAGCCATCCCTGCCTTCCACTAACTTAGAAAGAACAATCAACATGTAATCAAACCACTGCAGGAAGAGGATTAAGCAAGTGGAATGGAAGATGAAATTTCATCTTCTGATTCGTGGATTACTGCCCACAGTCAACAAGTTGGGTTTATTATTGCATACAACCACACCCACCACCAACCTTCTTACCAAAAACACTGTTTCACTTCCATATTTAATTAATATTTTAGTTAAGCCTCATCTCCTCCCTATGCTAACATTTTCCTACTTGTAAAGCAGTTAAAGTTATGTATTTCCAAAACACATTTGTTTCCTTTGGTATGAGGAAAGCAGTAGAAATACTATGCATCTACTTTTTAAAAACCCTAACCTAGGGGCTTCCCTGGTGGCACAGTGGTTGAGAGTCCACCTGCCGATGCAGGGGACGCGGG